GAGGATGGGATAGGGATGGGGAGAATGGGGGGTAATAAGGTTCGGCTGAGGAAGAAGACCATCAGGGTTAATTCCCAGACCAAGAGCCTCTTCCACGTCCAAGGAGCCCCTTGAAAGTTTGTTTGCTTCTATAAGAGATGTTTAAGCACTCTTATGCATAAGTTAGAATATGTGGCTGCAGACAGTACCCCCTAGTAGGTTTAATGCTTCCTTTTGATTATAGTAATAATGCGGACAGTACCAAGGTGATGAAGAGGACGGTGTGTACAGAGTGCCCAATTTTCACGTTCCAATTGTCATTAATATTTTTTTTTTAATTTTAATTATGGGGAAGTGCTAAACCTGTAGGGATCATACAGTTCCTGGGAAGCATTCAGGTTCGATATAAGGAAGGGCAGGTAAATCCAGTTCCTTGGCTTAAGAGCCCCTCACTGACATCAAGGCCTCTCAAAGGGAAAAACTGCCACAAAGATCAGCAAGGAGGGTGGGTATAAGAACAAGTAGTAATAAAAAAATAGGGAAATGACCATGGCAGTGTAGATCATTTATGGTCAGATTGACTTTTAACACTACTGAGGAAGGGCAGATACATATAAATGGTAGCTAGTATGCTAAAGAGCACAATTAAGTTTATATGAAGGTACTTGAGTGTTTTGTTAAGATTCCTATCATAGTACCTCTATGGTAATACCAAAGGGTTACTGTGGACTTAAATTAAAAATTCACCAATTTTTAACATAATAAAATCATTTTAAAAGAACACTAGGATTTTATGTAACAAAGAGCAGATGTGTGAAAACATTAGATGCTCCAGCAATGCTAAAGATTATCCTATGGAGTTTCATATTAGTCACAATATCAGTATACATACACAAGAGTATAAAATTTATTTAGTATCTGTTATTGACAACAGCATGCTAAAAACTGCTTGACTCACATGTAAATACCGTACAGTAATGCTGGGACAATACCAAAATTTTTGCTTATACTGACACTCAATTTTAGATGAATACTAATATCATCAAAATTATAAACTACACACTGATAACGATATTTTGGCACATCCCTACTGAAGAGTATTGGAATGTAAATGATGTATATGATATTCAAGGGTTTTTGCGAACTACATAAGTATTTTTTTGCATATTATCATATAGTATATATAAATTTGTTTATATGTATAATTTTTTTAACAAGCTGACCATCTCCCAAGGTATGTTTATGAAAACACTATCCAAAACTCTGAAGCAGTCACACTATGATGTGAAAACCTGGCCTTATCATGGAAAATTAGTCATATTAGCACCTTAATAAGATAAAATGACTAGTTAAATAAAGCATGCAATTATCGCCATAATACCCTATCCATGGTGCTCAGATTTCATGACAAACCCATTACTGATGCTTCTTAAGCTGTGCTTCATGATATCACGGTAATTGCATAAGATCTTTCCCTAGATATGTACAGTATCTTTTACAAATATAAAAAAATATAAACAATTCTGTTTCTCAATTTAAACTTACAGTACATGTTATACTTCTATCAATATTTTAATGTCTACAGGTTAACCTAATTATGATACGAACACTGTAACCAAAAATGGCTGCATTATTTTAATTCATTTCTACTTTAAGTTATGATATGAAAATGTTCAGTGAAAAGCAGTATAGTCTATATACGTAGGATCCAATGATTCTCTCCTCAGAATAAACTTAGCTTCCTGCTTAGACATAATAGAATTAAGTGCTAAAAACTCTTTTCTGCTCACTAACCAATAGTTATTCTGATAAGTTCATTTCCAATAGTAATCAATCACTGATCATAAATTCCTGCTAGGCGACTTCAATGATCCTGCTTACATTGTATGTACCTTTCTGGGTAATACTGAGTTCATGTTATGGTCTGAATTGATCAATAACTTTTTCCTTAAAATGTCCTATATTAGGTAGATTATGCCACGAACCAATTAAGTTTGTGGAAATGGTAAGACATGTAACACAACTCAAACCGAAAAAAAAAAGTAACTTGACCTTACTCTGTCAGTGGTAGATACAAGAATGGTACAGCTTTGTTAATGTTATATGCAGTTTTCTTTACACTACTGTATATGGCCAGATGCATTACATAACTCAATACTAAGAGCTGCTCAATACTAAGTGCTGATTGGCTCTAGTGTGCTGCTTGTGCCAAATTTTTTAATTTTAATAATATTTCCCAAAAAACTTCATTCACTCCATCACCATCATTCACTCCATCACTGTCTTGCCAGAAGGGTGCTTTACACTACAGTTTTTAAACTGCAACATTAACACCCCTCCTTCAGAGTGCAGGCACTGTACTTCCCATCTCCAGGACTCAAGTCCAGTTCAGGGTAACCGGCAGGCCGGACTTGAGTCCTGGAGATGGGAAGTACAGTGCCTGCACTCTGAAGGAGGGGTGTTAATGTTGCAGTTTAAAAACTGTAGTGTAAAGCACCCTTCTGTAAGACAGTGATGGAGTGAATGACGGTGAGTTTTTCTTTTTCAGGCCACCCTGCCTTGGTGGGAATTGGCCAGTGTGATAATAAAAAAAAAAATATATAATATTTCCCAAAATACAATTTGGCACAAGATATAATAATTGTTACCAGCATATGGATAACAAGCTTGTATTTTACATACTAAAATAATACGCGAGTTCAGACCAGGACCTAAACTAAATATTAGACACCTCTTTTAACACGTTTTATTCTGCTCATTCTTTTACTTCGAAGAATGCTAGGCCTGTTGCGGCAAATTACCTTTAGTCATCCACCTGTTCATTATTATTCCTCTAGAAATGTTAGCCCTGTAGTAAGCCACCTGTTTATTCTCTTCTAGGAATGCTAGGACTGTTGCCACACACTAACTGCAGTTGGCCTCCTCTTCACTGTCTTCCAGGAATGCTAGGACTGTTGCTGCACACTACCTGTATTTAATTTTTCTATAAAATCTAGCTTAAAGTATAGTCTCCTTTTAAGTATACTTAAAGGTGTTTCATTTATTTTACTGTATTACTAAAATTAATTTAATTTTATTTTTTGCTTCCCTTAATTCTAATTCTACACCAGTGACTCGACTTGCTGATGAAGGACCTCTTCACATCCTGAAATTCATACATGAGGACTCTTTTTTGACTACATTTAATGTCTATATAAACTATAGCATTGTCATGTACTCTTTATCACAGTCATTAATTAGGTCCTGCAGGATAGGCTGCAGGATATTAAGGCTTCATATTTTAATAATGATATGGGTAAAGTAGGGATGTTTAAAAAGGATTCCCTAGTCAAGGGTGAAGTCCTTGATCTCTCTTTACCTTCCCTTCTCGCTGATGGACCCACCTTTCATCCGGACTCTCTCATTGACTCTTTGACAAAACTGACTTACTTCACAAACTCTGATGCCTTCAGCCCTTTCTACCTCAATCTCTTGCTACCCTCTACCCCTACACTATCCCCTGCCCCGCTGTTTTCTGTAACCTACTGATCATCCCTTTCCCCTTCTGCTGCCCAATACCCTCGCTTCCTTCCCTACCCTGCAGCGCTGTATAGTCCTTGTGGCTTAGCGCTTCTTTTTGATTATAATAATAATAATAATGAAGTCCTTGATTCTTACCATCATTACTTATGACCAGATCTCATTGTTTGGATTGGCAGTCATGAAGCTTTCCACTTTAACTCAATAACTTTCAACAAAAAAATAAAAAACTCACTAGCATCATAACGAACCATGTTGAACAGACAAGATTTTTGTTCTACTTTCTTTTAACACTGACCATCTTCCACTGAGGCAGGGTGACCCCAAAAAAAGACGGAATTGAGCTTTTCTTCTTTTTACATTTAGTAATTTATACAGAAGGGGTTACTAGCCCCTTGCTCCTGGCTTTTTAGTAACCTTTTATGACCTGAATTGCTGACGGAGGAAGGATTCTTCTCCACTTCCCCATCAAATCTGAATCTGGGTCCTACTCAATAATTAGAACTCAAAGTAAGAATGTTTCCTATGTTGCAATTGGTTTAGTGATCACCTATTTCCCACTATTTTCCCTTTCAAGTGAGTACTCCTTACATTATGTCACTGAACATGACAGATTTTTGCTACAGTGATATGCTATCACTGGTATCTGTGAGGTTGCCTAACAGGAATTATGACAAAAGATCATTTGCTGCTGACTACAAGCTTCTTTTGAAGAGCAACCATTATTAAATGGAAAGCAGGATTTATAGTACTTAAGGCTGTACAGTGTAAGCAACAAGCCAAGTGTATTTTGGTAGGGTCATCAAACCCACAGCAACATTAAAAAAAATTCCATTATTAAAGAAAAATGATATCAATAGTGTTCTTAAGAAAAATAAATAAAGCTATATATATAGTTAAAATTCATATTATTGTTAGGTTTTGACAATTATAAGTAGAACAATAAGAAAAATGATAGTGCCAGATAGACCTAAATGCACTTCATATTACGATTCTTGCGTTGATAATGTTCTGCTTTCTTCAGCTGTTTTGCTCCATCTTCCACTTTAATAGCTGCATGTTCTATGTTGAAGTCTATTCGATCTAAGATAGTTCCCTGCAAAAGAAAAGGAAATTATTTTATTCAAATATAGTAATGCACCTTGATGCAATGTTCAACAGTGACAGTGCCAAGGATAGTCTTCAGCCTTCCCATAATCTCCATAAGCCATCCCAACAAAAATAATAATGCAGTAGACTCACAATTCACTCACCCATTACATGTGTGAAATGCCATTTTATCATGCACAGAGATATTTTCCCTCTATGCCTAGGGAGAAGCCAATGTTTTAGAGAGCAGCCTAGCTTCACTCCACAGTGAAAACACCCACTCTTGAACAACTCAGTGAGTAGGATTACAAGCCCACGGGGTCTGCAAAAATACGCAGATGACATAGCCAGTATTTATTGACAATGTTACAACATTGTTTCAAGTACGTATATGGTAGGAGCCTCGACTGGTTGGTCAGGCAGCCTGAGTGATGCCAGAAGCACCTGCTCATTGGATCATATCACTCGTGCCCCTTTTAAGATGACAAGCTGGACAGTATTTAACTTTTCAACTGAAATTTCAGGGATGCATAGACAAATCTATAATGTACTTTGATAATTAAGCTTGCAAGCTGGGCTGGTTTTCTTTCCCTCCACTCTGCTCTCCTGGAGGGTGTAACACTTGCTGGGCAGTCATACATCAGCCATGAGGACCCATCCACACCTATGGCCCCTTCTGTGGGGTTCATAATTGATGTTGTGGGTCTAAGGACAGGCCTAGTATGTGCAAACTCTCCAGACAGTCCCCAAAAAGGGCCAAAGGTGTGGAGGGGTCCCCACAACTGACAGATAACCATCCATCAATCACTGTGCTTACCAGGAAAGCACAGCGGAGAAAAATAAAGATAGCATTGTTCCAGTATTGTACATAATTGTCAGTGTACATTGTGTATTTTGTTTATGTATCATATGACAAGAAATGTACTGTTGTTGACCCTGTCATCTTAAAGGGGCTTTGTGTGATGTGTTGGGCAGGGACCTACAGCATCACCAGAGTACTCAGCTAGCCAGTCTAGCCTCCCACCTCATACACAGTACAATGTTGAAGCTATGTTATATGTGTATGCTCTTCTCAGACCACCATACAATTGGCCAAAAAGCTGTTAAACTATAAAACAATGCACAAGCAGCATGGAAAGCCTACAAAAGAGTTTTGAAGATTGTGTCTGGATTATCTGAAAGAGGGTTAGTAACCTGGGATTACCCATGAAAGTCACTGTCATCAGAGTGGTTTATTTTCACTGAGGTTCTTCAATCTTCTTCCCAAAGATGTTACTCATACCAGTTGGCTGAAACCAACTTATGAATTCTTAAAGCAGGAAACAACAAGGCTTGTACTCTGAAAGTGGGGGTGGGATGAGGGACATTGAGACTGGGGAGGGGAAGGGAGGCAATACTGGAATGTGACATTTATACCTTTTGCGAGTATTTCCCTAGATGGGAAACAGTTACAAAAATATATTTTAATGAAATTCGTATATACCTGCTCTGCTACAAGTTGTGCTACATCTCGGAACAGTTGGTTAAGCTGGACTGTGGACTGCAGTATGTGCTGAACAGCTTTGTCCCTTTCTTGCACTTGAACAGTGTTGTCAGCCAGAAACATGAGCTGCTCCTGTGTCCATGCTCTGCCAATTTGATTTTAGTAAGTAAAACTTTATTAAGTAATAAGCAAAACAAATCAAGCACAACAGAATCACAGATGATCAATTATTTCACAACTCAATTCACTGATCTATAACTTATTACTGAGCAAAGCTAAGTAGATATAACATCTGACCAAAGTCTTTATCAAGTCTTTATCAGTACAGGTTAAAAAATAGGGAAAAGGATGCGAATTTTTAAAGGATGACCCTTCCTGAAGCATGACATGAAAACACTGTAGAAACTTAGTAAATTAAGATTACTGTAATTCTTAAAAAAAAGTGTTGACTTCAATATATGTAGTACTCACTGACTCTGACTAGAGTTGGATCCTCCCTCAAATGTTCCATAATCACTGTCATAATCACCACCACCTTCATGAACAAAGGAACTGGTTTTCTTTATGTTGTTCATAGCTGTAATAATGAATTTATTGTTACTGTATACTCATTTCACCGACAAGAAGAGCAATGAATTTTACGACAAAAATTTATTATTTCAGTATATATAATGACTTTTAGTTAGTCTCTAAGTGCCTATATTTGTTTCATTAATCTTGCAACTATTTGTTCAGCATTTATATAGGCACGGTAACTAAAAAAACAGGAGTAATAAATTACAACTTACAAGTAGTAAATGCGGAACAAGTTGTAACAAACTCATTTTTCACTTCCTGTAAGGCAAACCCTAAGGCTCGGACAACATTTTTGTTGAGCGTTTCTTCTCGTCCTTGTCCACCACTGTGCTTGATCTGTATCATCAGCATCTGACATCTCTCCAGCGTCTAATGGAAATGGGAATCAGAAAAACAATTACTTCCAACAGATCTCTCTCTCGTTCACTGAAGCAGTTTTGCCTTTTTGTCCAATGTTTTACAGTTTTCCAAATTAATCTTTCATGATGAAAGTTTTGAAAGTTTTCTTAAAATTTAAATAAATGCAATTTGTCAATCTAGTTCTTTAAAGAATAATTTATGTGACTGTTAATCACGGGTTTATTCTTAAGAGATCCTATGAATTCAGAATCCACAAATACAGTAAAACAAAACTTCTTTCTTTTTTTCAGCAAACCAGCTGTATCCCACTGAGGCAGGGTGGTTCAAAAAAGAAAAAGATAAGTTTCTCTTTTTAACTTAAGTAATGCACACAGAAGGGGTTACATGCCCCTTGCTCCTGGCATTTTAGTCGCCTCTTACGATACACATGGCTTATGGAGGAAGAATTCTGTTTCACTTCCCCATGGACAAAACTATGTCTGCATAATAAATTTTCCTTTACATTCAGGATAATTTTGCATTTCAGAGGACATCTCTGTCAATATCAAATTTTAGGCCTGGCATGAGTTTAGCAGCAATTTATAATTTTAAATGGCTAATATTAAGTGGGAGTGCAATGGAAATAGTTCTACTTGGTGCAAATGGGACAAAAGCTAGCTTTAGTACTTTATGTTTGAAGAGTCAAGTATTTATAATCACCAGTGCCTGGGATTGGCAGAATTCACAATCTATGCTCAATCCTCCTCAATTTGACGACACAGTGGATTCAAGCTGAAATTTATCTTCGGGAATATCAATGACCCTGATTTTTTTGAACTCTATTTTGATAAACCCCTAATGAAAATGAGTGACAGAAGCCAGCAGATACTACAGTACCAGAACATAATGCATAACATGTTTGCTTCACTATACACAAATAACCGCACATAAAAGAGAGAAGCTTACAACAAACATTTCGGTCCGACTTGGACCATTGACAAAGTCACAGTGTGACTTTGTCAATGGTCCAAGTTGGACCGAAACGTCGTTGTAAGCTTCTCTCTTTTATGTGCGGGTTATTTGTGTATCGTTCCAGTCACGGTATTGTGCCTTTTTTGTTATTTGCTTCACTATGATCACGGCTTCACAAAAGGAATAACACAACTGTGGCAAAGATGCATCTCTTCATTGCCACAGCTGTATGCTTGTGTTAGCGCTTTTTTGTATAAATAATAATTCATTGCCACAATCATGCTTATGCCACATGTGCATAGCATAATATTGCAGCATTCTGGTCAACTGACCACCTTGTGTGTACCCCAGCATTCAGTGATCTCATCCCTGTCAACAGATTTATCCTATATATGCTTCTGCATGTGCTACACTTCTCAGAAAAGATGAGGCCTGACAAAAGTGACTGACAGCTGGTATCATTGATTACACAAATAGTGTGCATTTGGTGAACAAATGTGACATGCAGCTTGCACTTGTTGTGTTCAGAACAATTAATTACAAGTGGCACATGAAACTTTTCTTCCATCTTATTGACATTACAATGCTGAATGTACCAGGTCAAGACTGGTAACAGACTACCATATGTCCACTTCTGTTTGCATGCTATCAGAAATGTGCTCAGAAGAGATGTTACGTCTAAGCACACACGTCTTTGGAACCAGTAAAGCACAGGGATACGTTTTATATGATGGGAATGTAAAGCACCAATATATATGGAGCTGTGTTTCCAAGACTTCCACAAACTGCAATAGTTCTGGGAACCTGACCAGTGCCTGTATATATGTGTGTGCATATGTTACAATAGTAAGTAGGCCTGTTAGGCAAAGAATGCTTGTGTGTTCACATAATTGTGCATCACTCTTTTCAAAACAATATGCTGTTGAAATTCTTAGTGTGACTACTGTGTTGTATACAAGGGCTTACCATATGGACACTAGGAATGATATGAGGGTCACAGTCCACAGAACTTACATGAACATACTAAAAATTAGAAAACACCAGAAAAAAAACAGAAAAAATTAATAAACTATGTTGTGTATCTTTATATGTACTATATGGTTCTAAACTGTTGTGTTCTGAGCACCTCTGCAAAAACAGTGATTATGTGTGAGTGAGGTGAAAGTGTTGAATGATGATGAAAGTATTTTCTTTTTGGGGATTTTCTTTCTTTTTGGGTCACCCTGCCTCGGTGGGAGACGGCCGACTTGTTGAAAAAAAAAAATGAAGCACAGCAATTTCTGATGTTGCCATCATGGGGCCAACAACATTTGAACTCAAGTCTTTGTATCCCAATAAGTACTGATAGGACTTTGGTTTTCTTTGTACAGTACAGAATCCAAAATTCCAAAAACAGAAAGTTTTTCAACTGTTGACATGACACACCACATATGGATCATTCAGTGAAAAATGGGGTGGAGGCTTGTTTTTCTGTCGTGATTTGAGAAAGATGAGTTCATTTTGTACTATCCCATTTTTGTTGTCAGTGTCAGGGGGGGTTTAAATAAGTGGTGGGGTAAAAATATCAGTAGGCTGGGTAGTACTATAATATAAAAGGGGGAAAAGAATGGGAAACATCAGCTGACCTGCCTCCTCTGCCTCCCATTTGATGACCACCGTCCCTACAGGGTGAGCGGTGTTTAAAATCAGTTTGGGCAGCGCAACATGAATAAACAGTCAGTTTTTCACACAGAGGTTGGTGTGAGTCATTATGGTCACTGGTTGTGGTAACTATTTATGGGAAAATGGTCTCTATGAGAGTGGCGCGCAAAAGTAGTCGCCCCGACTACAACTAATAAAAAATAGAGACGGCAGGTGTCGGTTTGGGCTATTTATACAATGTAAAAGAACCAAAAAATTGAACTTATAAATACATAAGTAGAATTTTGGAAAAGGAAAGCTTAGAATGAAACTGTAATGCAATACAACGCTTAATATCACAATTTCACAAATAAAACTCAATTTTGGGTTTAAAACCAATAGAAGTGAAAAAAAAAAAATTTGATCGATCGATCTGTATTCTGGTTTTCTCGGATTCTGGGGAAGGAATATAACAAAGAAAAAAGGTTTAACAAAAGGGGCGATTCGGGGAATCAAATCTGACTGTTAAATTCAAAATTTCGGAGGGAGAACGGAAACAAAAAAAAAAATTCTTGAATACTATAAGTTGATACTGAAATTTATTGTATACGGTTATTTACATTTAACCCCAACTCTGAGGGTGAGTTGACATATGCGAATGGGTGTCATCTTGGGAGGATCAAACTCTGTGTAGGTTTAAAACTCATGCCGTTTTTGAGGCAAATCTAAATTTGTATTTAAAATGATCTTGGGGTTTTTTCCAATCTGTCGTTACTTGGGAAAAACGACATTCAGGTTGATTTTGACTGAGTTCAGAGGTAGGAGTACAGGATCAGGGGATTGTAAGGTCTGTCACTTTAGTTGGGTTGGGAAAACTCTTATCACCATATAATTTTATATGATAAAAATTGGTTCTTTTTACGACCAGTATAATCTCTCTAACCTTATACTTATTACCAGTGTTGTTCAACTACTGTAAGGACAAAAAAACTTTTGATCAAGTTTGGCATTCAGCTTTTTTGTTAAAGTTAGTCAGCAAAAACTCTCGAACTACTTTGTTTTGGAGGCTCTGCTCGAGTGTTAGGGCTCTTGAAATTCTGCTTGTTGTTTATGAAGGTTTCACGGGTCTTCTAAAAACATGTGAGCAAAGCTGGTAGAGTTTTGTTTTAAAAAAATTTTTTTAGGGTTGAAATTTGGGTTTTTCGGATTAGATTATTGCAACTCAAAAGGCAAAGTTTATTACACCGTACAATGCATAATGTGGAGTGTCACTTGAAACTTTGTAAGCAAAATTTTTATGCCACTGCACATGGTATAATTTCACCCCAAGTTTCATTTTGGGGATTATAGTGGCTTCAATTAAGTACTACTTTCTTTTTGGGTTCGTTCCGAAACCCCATTGCAGGAGGATGAGGGGAACAATGGTGGATTTGGGATCTTGACGGTAACAAATTTTCGAAAATTCATTAAGAATCACCCATTATCTGTTCCCAGGGACTTAGGGGGGTATCCCTGCAGATAATGGGTTTTTTAAACACTTTAGTACGTTGGGCGTTTATCTGAAATGGGAAAAACTAACTCACAATTTTGGGTGAAATGGTCTACCAAAACACACAGATGTTTGTTCCCCGGGAGGGAACACTGGAAATTATTAACAAATCTAGGCAATTTTCCCCCGGTTCGCTAGTAGTTGGATACACTTGGTTTGGATTAGGACCTTGCTTCCCTTTGTGTTGCATGCGACATACATTTTTGACATCTCAAAAAATATCATTTGCCATACGGGGAAAAAAGTATTTCAATCTGGCTTGTTTTACTAAACGACCCAAACCCGGGTGTGAACACCTGGTCATTGTGAATAGCGTAAGGCTAATCATTGTGATGGGGAAATTTTACTAATGGATATTTCTTTGCTGGGAGAAACCCAACTCGGCTGTTTGATACAGTAATTCTTGGTTGATGCAAAGTATGTGGTGCTGGTGGCTTACAGTCAAAAAAAGTTTCCTGGATTTGGAAAATTTTGAATCAACCCAGACACATGGGATTGCTCGTTGGCATCTTTACTCTTCGGCAGTAAATGGGGGGGGTCTGCTTACTATATAATTTTGTGGGATAAGGCATTCGACTCATTTGATTGCCAGGAAAGTGTTCAAAGGGGGGATTAAAACTCTTGGATAGTCAAGGCCCTTTGGTAACTTTCCAGTATTTGTTTGTTCTAATAAAGGTATCGTGGAGATGGTCTGTCAAGACTGAACAGAGTACTGATAAATAAGTCTCGGAAGTGCTTTAAAGCATACTATGTAAGCTTTTGTCATTTCTTTAAAAATTAGTTAAGCCTCTGAAAGGACTCGGAAACAAAGCAACTGGTTTACTTGCCATCAGTCTTCGAGCTGTCGGCCCTATGCCAATAGAACTGCATCGTTGTCAGATAGAAGGGT